CTTCTGTCGGTCGTGTGCAAGGTTGCTATCGGCGGGAGGACTCCTTTTGCCGCCACCCGACTGCTGCACACAGGCGTTGGGTTTGGGCTCTTCTGGCTATCCCATGCGGTAAATGGACTGCGGGACACAATCACCAGCGTATTTAGAGGCCCGGTTGACACAAAGTTGGAGGATGAGGTTGCTGTGAAGATACAAAGAAGCATGAATGACATTCTCTTACGGGCCGTAACTCTCCTGGCAATCACTGCTTTGAGGTTTGCATGACCTCCTATGCTGCTGTAACTTATTAGACGCACCTCGGTGTATGGTTCGACTTTTGGTTCAGGAATACAGTTCCTGTAGGACTAAGTGCCAAATACCTTCATGATTCATGATGGCCTCATAGAAAATGTGCGACGTTGTAAATTGTACAGAATTTTGCTGGCAGCTCGGTGTATATGGAAGATAGATTTTACCTGTTCTGAATGTTATTTATGCTATACTTTATATTTCTCAACCAGATAGCTGTTTCACTCATTTCCAAGCATACTTTTTCTTGATGACATCCATTTCATGGTCTATTGGCATAGCAATCTTGGGATAATTACTTAGAAAGTTTCAACCGCCAAAAGTGTTGTGCAATACTGCAAATTAATGACGTTACCATTTTAACATGTCATTGCCGAACACTAATTTTCAGCTCATGCTGACCACATCGACATGTCTATTTTTTGTTACTGACATATGTAGTGCATTGAAGATTGTTTATTTACTTTCTAAAGGTTGCGATATGCCTCAATTTAATTGTTGCAACTGTGGTGAAGCGTACACGCATATTCTTTGTTCACTCACAGGTGCAAGCATGGAACATTTTTCCATTAAAATAGTAGTTTCTGATTTTATACCAATTTCCTTCATACGTAGTTCATCTAAGGTTAATCTTTAAATTCACATAGCAATGCGCGGGGAAATCTCTAGCAGTTATGTAAATCTATGTCATTTTTCACGTGCCATCATGCCAAGGATTAGAAACGAAAGTATAAAAGAGAAAGATTAGAAACGGACTATTAGCCTTATATAATTGCTTTCAGGCAATCGATACAGTTTCTTATCTTCCATGTCATCTTGTGACCGAAATGACAATGTTACAATCCAGCAATCATGCTTTCAGGCAATCGATACAGTTTCTTATCTTCCATGTCCTTTCCTCTGACTGTCTTCTGACCGAAATAACAATGTCACAATCCTCCTCTCAATTTATTGTTTCTGTCGTAGTTACGTCGATAGTCTTTGCTCGCTCACAACGCATATGAAACATTTTTTACATTAAAAGACACTAGCTTTTGATTTCGTATCCTTTCCTTCATAGTACATAATTCATCTAAAATCAATCTTTCAAACTCCTGTAGCAACGTGCAGGGAAAATCACTAGTATTTTAGACTTTTCCTTATATAAACCTGTGTCCTTTTACACGCGCCAATCATGCAAATGATTAGAAACGAAATCACAAGCTGGCCAGATTTGCTTCCAGGCAACCCATACAGTTTCTTATCCTCCATGTCCCTTTCCTCTGACCGTCTGGAAACCGAATTGACAATGTCACAATCCTCCCCTTAATTTCCTTCTCCGTCGCACTCACGCTAGCTCAATAAACTGAAATCAATCAACCAAAAGAAAAAAGAAGATAACTTCAGGAAAGCGTGCAGTCCAAACCATACAACGACATCAATCAAACCCTCTATTTATTCTCACCGTATTCCCGCTTCTCTACAAGCAACTGTACCGACTGCAACACAGTTTCTTCAGTAAGCATGAGAACTATGACCCATCGTCTCCCCCCAGCTGTGGCTGCGGTGGCCGTGGTCTTGGTGGCGCTGACGTGCCTCCACCGGCCAGCTGCCGCGAGCGGCCATGCCGCGGACCGCATAGCCCGGCTGCCTGGGCAGCCGGCGGTGGACTTCGACATGTACTCCGGCTACATCACCGTGGACGAGGGCGCCGGACGGTCGCTGTTCTATCTGCTGCAAGAGGCGCCGGAGGACGCCCAGCCGGCGCCGCTCGTGCTGTGGCTCAATGGCGGCCCCGGCTGCTCCTCCGTCGCCTACGGCGCGTCGGAGGAGCTCGGCGCGTTCCGCGTCAAGCCCCGCGGCGCCGGCCTCGTCCTCAACGAGTACCGCTGGAACAAAGGTAGGTGCCCAGTCGCTTGCGGCTTGCTTGATCGACGTCACTGTTTCATCTGTTGCGCTTCTAATGGTGGAGAATATCTAAATTGCTTTGCAGTGGCCAACGTGCTGTTCTTGGACTCGCCGGCCGGCGTCGGGTTCTCCTACACCAACACCTCTTCCGACATCTACACCTCCGGCGACAACAGAACGGCGCACGACTCGTACGCCTTCCTGGCGAAATGGTTCGAGAGGTTCCCGCACTACAAGTACCGCGACTTCTACATCGCCGGCGAGAGCTACGCCGGGCACTACGTCCCGGAGCTGTCCCAGCTGGTCCACCGGAGCAAAAACCCCGTCATCAACCTCAAGGGCTTCATGGTCGGGAACGGCCTCATCGACGACTACCACGACTACGTGGGCACCTTCGAGTTCTGGTGGAACCACGGGATCGTCTCCGACGACACCTACCGCCGCCTCAAGGAGGCCTGCCTCCACGACTCCTTCATCCACCCCTCGCCGGCGTGCGACGCCGCCACGGACGTCGCCACGGCGGAGCAGGGCAACATCGACATGTACAGCCTCTACACGCCCGTCTGCAACATCACGTCGTCCTCGTCGTTGGCGGCGAGCCGGCCCCGGCCCAGGGGGCGCTACGTGAGCATCCTGACCCAGACTCCGTGCGTGCGTCGTTATCCCCCATGCTGCTTTTTGAAGTGACAAAACGCCGTGCATATATATGCTGCAGCCATGGCTGACCGGGTCCTACGACCCGTGCACGGAACGGTACTCGACGGCGTACTACAACCGGCGGGACGTGCAGATGGCTCTCCACGCCAACGTCACCGGCGCCATGAACTACACGTGGGCGACCTGCAGCGACACCATTAATACCCACTGGCATGATGCTCCGAGGTCCATGCTTCCCATTTACAGGGAGCTTATTGCAGCGGGCCTCAGGATTTGGGTGTTCAGGTCAGACCATTCCTAGTTTAGCTTAACAATGCATTCCAGCATTTCTTAACTAAATTATATTATAATAATACACGTTTGCTTCAGTAATCTCTCATGATGAGCTGTTTCGCTAGGGTAACCTTTAACCTTTTCTTTTGACGAATTTTGCGGATATTTCATCAGGAATCTATCAGTTGACATCCCATGCCATTCGCGTATGCATCGGGTTATACGTAATGCATCTGAATCAATATGATTAGATTTGTCTTGAATTTTAGGACATTTTGCTCTTCCATTTTAGGACACCTACCTACTCTGCATATTAGCTTTGAACAAGTCTATGGGAAATAATACAAACTTCACAATAATATAGTATATATATGTTCTATGATGATTCTAATTGTATTGATTTGTTGTTGTGGATGTTTGTATTTTTTTCCATATAAATTTGGTATTGCTAATAACACATATTGTGACCAAGCGGTCAGCTTGGTAAGCTACCTACAAAAATTTGAAAATAACACATATTGTGGTAAACCTCCTTTTCAGAAGAAAAGAACATCTACCTCCCTTTTTTGGAAAAAAAATAAACAGTACTAAATGACAACAGGTACACCGATGTACATCACTGATGAGTCATCAGACATCATCAGCCAGTTAACAAGAGAAACAGCAGAGAATGCACTGCTTTGACTGAGTGAACTCACTCAGATGTCACCCATCCGAATTAACAACTAGAGATGAATTATCCACATTTATTCATAACATTCCCCTATTGACCCGTCAGCTCAAAATTAATTAGGATCCAACTGGACCCTGGGCATCTCTTTTCCTCACATAATTCGCGTCCTCAGCTCTCAAGTTTGCAACTTGTTGGGTTGCTGTCATGCAAAGAAGATGCCCATGGGACATGTGTTTTCCTTTAGAAAGACAAGGGAGCTGACGTTGTTGTTGATCTATCAGCCGCTGCGTGTCGCACAATTCAGTTACCTTCCGTAAGCATTTTGACATTAATGTTGTTGTGTTTATTTCGCAGCGGTGACACGGACGCGGTAGTCCCCTTGACAGCAACAAGATACTCCATCGGCGCTCTGGGTCTTCCAACTACTACCAGTTGGTACCCTTGGTATGACGACCAGGAGGTCAGCATCATCCCACTCAACTCTTTTGCAAAGCAGTAACATCAATAGAATCATTGAGATGCTCTGGTTGGCGTGCAAATAGACCACATAACAGGGCACATGAAAATATTATCTACCTTCTCCTATCATTTTCTTAGCTTGATAAAAATTCGATTCACATGGCCGAATGGAGATTACACTCCTGCATGCAACTTGCCAGCAAACATTTAGATATCACATTAGTGCGTGTTATTAACTACTACTACATGTCACACACATAATTAACTAGTGTTTGTGTGATGGATTTGTTGACCAGGTCGGCGGTTGGAGCCAGGTGTACAAGGGCCTTACACTGGTGTCCGTCAGAGGTGCCGGCCATGAGGTTCCCCTGCACCGCCCGCGGCAAGCGCTCGTACTGTTTCGGTACTTCCTGCAGGGCGAGCCCATGCCAGGCCAGACCAAGAATGCGACGGTGGCTTAGCAACAAAGGGATGGAAGTCAAATAGTAATTTCGATGTGAGAAAACAAGAGTGATCATCAATAAAGCAATAGATGCTTCTTAACTACTTTTCCTGGATAGCTAGTATATATGCACATAAATGCGGCGATTTATCGAGAATATGGACGCAAAGCACCAACACAAAGCACAAAAGAACACAGAGGAAACACTTTAGGACAGACTTGATACGAACGACTCATATTCCGATAAGATTGATGTCTCTGCAATGAAAGTTTAAGTAGCAACATCAAAACAGAGTGGCAGGAGTTTCCCTCACCAGCAACTTAAGATAGCAGTGTAATCTTAAGAAGTTGCACGCTAGATCTATCATATGAGATCATGTAAGGAAGAAAACTGGACGTAGCCGCACTGCTGGTAATGTTGACAACAGACAACTTGGCATCAGCAGCCGCCTTGGCAAAGCAATTAAAAGTGTCTGCATTCCGAATAACCGTGGCGATATAGGCCACAGGACCTCCGGTTGCGGTGGTCCCAGATACTTCGTCACCAATTTCTCCGTTGGTTGCCGCATTGACACTTTCACGCCGTCCATCATCACCTCTAAGTAGCATACAAAGCACTCGTACCAGGTGGGGCACGCAGGACGGGTTGTATATAATGTCTGCACCAAGACTGCAGGAGACAGAGGGTAAATGATACGCAGAAGCATGAACAGCAGGAGAATGTGCTGTTATCCACTTCGGAAGTAGACTACTCATTCTCTAAAAGACGCAATAACGTTCTTAGAGTAGTGCTTAAATTTGAAATTAGTTTCAGAAACCAACGGCTTAACAAAATAACAAAATAATAATAGTCAAAGGATACAACACAAAAAGAATATACAATACTCACAGTATGTCTCTCTGGTAGTCTCTTAAATCGCTTTCACACGCTTCTTCCCAGGAAAGATATTTGCACTCTACCTACATGCGAGGGTTATAGTAAGATTAAAGTTTAGGCAAAAAAGCATTCATCCAAAGCTGTGGTCTTGTGGGTAAGTACCACCAAGCGGGATAATGGTGCCACTCCTCTTGATGAACAGAAGACATTATGCATATAATCATGCATACATTATCTAACAAATGTATCTGAGGTAGCGCTATCTATATGCTACACCAACCGGAATGCTAAAATCATATTATATTTACAAACAGAAATGTACTGAAACCAATCTGATATTAACTTAAGAAATCGAACAAACCTTATTCTTGCTTTCTTTTACTAGTTGAGAATCCTCAATGTATAAGTTATTCATTTCCATGTTTGCCTTCATGTTTGTTAGTGTAGATGCATCACCATCAGTAAGAATAACCTGCATAATCACACACATTTTGTATTACATGTGTTCTTTTTCCTATCAGTGTTTCACCTTGGAAGAAGTTTATGAACTTTGTTGCATGGATAGTTCATGGCATATATCACTCATAGCTTAGGTTATCAAATTGTTGTGAAATTTAAATTTGAAGGATTAATTATAATAGTATATTTACCTCACCCTTTTCATTGGGAAAGACAAGAAATTTTTATGACGACCATGTTTCACAACTGTTTACTTGAACAGAGACTTGTCATTATAAGCTCATACCTTGGAAGCACCAACATGGTTTAGACATACACCAACCAAACCAACACCAGAACCTAGCTGCTTATCATGGAAACATAAGAAAAACAATCACATTTTAAATTTGTCAATAACACATTCTCGAGTTTTTACCTTTGACGGCCAAACGTCTAAGTATGTCACTATTTCAGGCAGATAAAAATACGCCAAATTTAACAACGAAAAGCCCCCACTGCAGCCTATCTAATTGCTCAAGAAAAAGCTGAATATAAACATGGAAGCAATAAAAGGCTTGACTTGCCGGAGATGCAACCGACTAACACATGTTCAGATTTGTTTGGGGGTGCAAAAGGCAGTACAATGCATGCACAACCACAAGTCCACAAGCACACACTTAGTACAACAATATTTGTACTGAATGCCAGGAAACATACTTAAAAATATGCAAATCGAGCCTTGATAGTAGTTCTCTACAAAGGGCAAGAGCTCACAGCCTCAACTTGCTAATCCTCTGCATAATATGCATATCAGTGAATATATCTAAAATACTATTTGATGGCAGAAAATAGAATGCAAGGCCAGTATGCAAGAGCATAGCATGTTCATAAATACGCTTGAGTTTAAATTATTTACGTAAATCTTATTAAAGTCACAGCTACAACAATTTTACCTCAAAGCAGCATTTTTTGGCAAAAAGTTCTGGGAATGAAAGAATAAACTCAGATAAGAATAAACTTGATGGCCAAAGACAGCACCTGAAAGAATAAAAATGCCCACTGACCTGAATGAATCATATAATATGGAAGCAGCTTAACAGAATATATGAATACATGTATTTCAAGATTTAGAGCCATCGTACCCTGTATCCCCTTCGAGCATGTTAGTAGAACATAATAATCGAGCAACCAAACTTACTGGATTCGAGGATACATTGTCATCTACATAAAAAAATAATTTGTTATAATTAATTACCTGTGCAACTTTGTAAGAGAAATGTTCAAATTAATAACTCACATGCAGGAGAAAGAAAAGATATCTCCTTGTAGATCTTGGCCAGGCTAAGCTCTGAGTTATTCTGCGCACAAACCGCAAAATGGGGACTACTTTAGTATATCATGTCAATACTCGATTATTGAGATGCACTACAAAATGAGGTCCACATACTTCCCTTGACGACATACAACGGCCAAATTCCTCATAGAGTTCATCAATCACAATATCTGATGATAATTCCGCCTCTGCTATAACCTTTTTAAGAATAGTTTTCACATATGTACAATCTGGCCCCCCTACCTGTGAGTACACAACGCTTTAGACCAGCAACAGGAAGAAAAACTGACCAATTATGAGAAAACTATTACAGCGCATCACTGTAGTGTAGCCTCAACTGAATTAATTTTTAGTTCTACGTTTTTCATATAAAATTTTAATGTATGTCATGGTTATTTTAGTGCATAAGTTTTCTGGTATGAAATAGTGAAAGGTATTTTACATTAGTGCCAACACAATTCTCCAAAATAAAATTTTGAACATGTGGCGTGACAGAACCTCCACCAGCCTTTCTGCATAAACCAAATATGAAAATATAAATAAATATCACCGTACTTTTTAAAACAAAAACTCAAAAAGGAAAATGAAGTAATATGTCTCGTTTGAACTTATTTGTACATTTAAATCCAGATGAATCGGCTGACACATTTTCGTATCTTTGTGTGAAATTTAACAGGTGCTGATCATGGATATCCTTGTTAGCTATTTCAATCTAACCCGTGTTCTAGAGAGCTATTTCGGTAGAACCCCGAAACCATAAAACTACATCTTAGTGTTGCAGACGAAAAATCATAAAAACAAAACAAGAGATTAAAAAGAAATCGACAAAAGAACATGCCAGAAAGGCTTTCTGACATGCATTCTCCTGAGCATTAACCCACACTCTTGCATGTGTTTGCCGTGTAATCTTACCTCTACTACTACTAGTGGCGCATGGGCCAAAACGGCCGAATTAGGAGCAGGAAGCCCCTGAACCAGCAGCGGCAACCGGCAATCGAGGCTCTGATTACTAACGCATAGGTGGCGCTGGAGGTTTGATAGTGCTAGTAGGATGTGCTACCTACAAGGGATTAGTGTGGGATGTACCTGGCGAGGGTGAGGACGCAGGCGGGGGGCTCCAGGGCGAGGAAGGCGAGCTTGAGGTGGAGCAGCAGCTGCTCGCCGGAGTCCCCTGAAGCCGCCGCGGCAGCCATGGACGCCGCGCAGCTGGGACGGATTTGCGGCGCTTTTCGGAGGCGGCGTGGGTGTGATGCAAGGGAGCCGCCAACCGTGGGGATGGGAAAAAGCCTGTGTTCACAGCAGCAGTAGCCGGCGGCAGTTGACCTTTTTGCCCTTTTCTAGGAAAGGTTTTAGCTAGGAGTTTTCTTAGGGAAGGTTTTAGGCAGGGGTATTTTTTTTTTGAGCGGTAGGGCCGAACTTTCTTCATCGAAAACCACAGTTTATGGGATACAAGTTCATAAAAATAAACCTGGCCAAATGGGCCGGTTTTAGCGTGTCGGCCTGATAGCCCTCGTGTCTGGCCCATTTGTGGGCCCGGCCCTACACTTTATAATCAGGTTGTGCTTTTTTTATACACGATAAGCTGAATATAGGTCCAAAGCAGTCCCACTGAATTCTACGCGGACCAACAGGCTAAACGGGTCGCCTGTGCCGACCCGTGTAAGAAGGGGACCGTGCCTGGGCCAGTAAGGGTAGCACGCATGCCAACCCGACACGACCCGTGTACTTAGCGTGCCTGGGTGGGCCGGGTCGGATCAACCCATTTATAATGCAGACTATAAAGGAACGAAGAGAGTATTAGTTTTTCAAAAAATTTAAACATTTTCAAACTTTAATCAAATTTATAGTAAAATATATCAATATCCATAAATTAAATTGGTTAAACCAAAATGTATTTTTATTTTTTTTATTTATTTTGGTGTTTTGCATGTTGATATTTTTTCCTAATAAAGTTTAAAAAATGACTTCCACATATTAAGTATGCCTTATATTTTGGAATGAACGGGGTACCGAGTATCACATGTCCTAAATACACACACTCCTAGAAAAATAAAATACATTCAAATCTCTTGGTACCCCGAGTCTTCTTTGCATCTACTAGCGGCACACCATGTGCAAAGCATCACTCTGGATAAAAAAAAGTTGAGAAGAGCATGCAAATACTCCAAAGATTACGAGCGTGGACCGGATCCAAGCAGATCCACGAGAAACCAAAACCAACCATATCCAACCAGATCTGCCCAAGACACACCTCCACAAGTTGTGAGCCATCTGAAGGAAATATGCCCTAGAGGCAATAATAAAGTTATTATTTATTTCCTCATATCATGATAAATGTTTATTATTCATGCTAGAATTGTATTAATCGGAAACATGATACATGTGTGAATACATAGATAAACATATAGTCACTAGTATGCCTCTACTTGACTAGCTCATTAATCAAAGATGGTTATATTTCCTGACCATAGACATGTGTTGTCATTTGATTAACGAGATCACATCATTAGGAGAATGATGTGATTGACATGACCCATTCCGTTAGCCTAGCACTTAATCGTTTAGTATATTGCTATTGCTTTCTTTACGACTTATACATGTTCCTGTAACTATGAGATTATGCAACTCCCGTTTACCGGAGGAATATTTTGGGTACTACCAAACGTCACAACGTAACTGGGTGATTATAAAGGAGTACTACAGGTGTCTCCGAAGGTACATGTTAGGTTGGCGTATTTCAAGATTAGGTTTTGTCACTCCGATTGTCGGAGAGGTATCTCTGGGCCCTCTCGGTAATGCACATCACTATAAGCCTTGCAAGCAATGTAGCTAATGAGTTAGTTACGGAATGATGCATTACGTAACGAGTAAAGAGACTTGCCGGTAACGAGATTGAACTAGGTATTGGATACCGACGATCGAATCTCGGGCAAGTAACATACCGATGACAAAGGGAACAATGTATGTTGTTATGCGGTTTGACCGATAAAGATCTTCGTAGAATATGTAGGAACCAATATGGGCATCCAGGTTCCGCTATTGGTTATTGACCGAGAATAGTTCTAGGTCATGTCTACATAGTTCTCGAACCCGTAGGGTCCGCACGCTTAACGTTACGATGACAGTTTTATTATGAGTTTATAAGTTTTGATGTACCGAAGTTTGTTCGGAGTCCCAGATGTGATCACGGACATGACGAGGAGTCTCGAAATGGTCGAGACATAAAGATTGATATATTGGACGACTATATTCGGACACCGGAAGTGTTCCGGACGTTTTCGGAGAAAACCGGAGTGCCGGAGGGTTACCGGAACCCCTCGGGGAGAGATAATGGGCCACTTGGGCCTTGGTGGAAAGAGAGAGGGGCGGCCAGGGTGGGCCGCGCGCCCCCTCTCCCTCTGGTCTGAATTGGACTAGGAGGGGGGCGGCGCCCCCCCTCTTTCCTTCCCCATCTCCCCCTTCCTTTCCCCTCCTAGTAGGAGTAGGAAAGGGGGAGTCCTACTCCTACTAGGAGGAGGACTCCTCCTCCTTGGCGCGCCCACAAGGGCCGGCCGGCCTCCCCCCTTGCTCCTTTATATACGGGGGCAAGGGGACACCCCAGAACACACAAGTTGATCTACGGATCGTTCCTTAGTCGTGTGCGGTGCCCCCCTCCACCATATTCCACCTCGGTCATATCGTCGCGGAGTTTAGGCGAAGCCCTGCGCCGGTAGAACATCATCATCGTCACCACGCCATCGTGATGACGGAACTCATCCCCGAAGCTTTGCTGGATCGGAGCCCGGGGATCGTCATCGAGCTGAACGTGTGCTGAACTCGGAGGTGCCGTACGTTCGGTGCTTGGATCGGTCGGATCGTGAAGACGTACGACTACATCAACCGCGTTGTCATAACGCTTCCGCTTTCGGTCTACGAGGGTACATGGACAACACTCTCCCCTCTCGTTGCTATGTCATCACCATGATCTTGCGTGTACGTAGGAATTTTTTTGAAATTACTACGTTCCCCAACAGTGGCATCCGAGCCTGGTTTTATGCGTAGATGTCATATGCACGAGTAGAACACAAGTGAGTTGTGGGCGATACAAGTCATACTGCTTACCAGCATGTCATACTTTGGCTCAGCGGTATTGTGAGATGAAGCGGCCCGGACCGACATTACGCGTACGCTTACGCGAGACTGGTTTCACCGTTACGAGCACTCGTGCTTAAAGGTGGCTGGCGGGTGTCTGTCTCTCTCACTTTAGCTGAATCGAGTGTGGCTACGCCCGGTCCTTGCGAAGGTTAAAACAGCACTAACTTGACGAACTATCATTGTGGTTTTGATGCGTAGGTAAGAACAGTTCTTGCTAAGCCCATAGCAGCCACGTAAAATTTGCAACAACAAAGTAGAGGACGTCTAACTTGTTTTTGCAGGGCATGTTGTGATGTGATATGGTCAAGACGTGATGCTATATTTTATTGTATGAGATGATCATGTTTTGTAACCGAAGTTATCGGCAACTGGCAGGAGCCATATGGTTGTCGCTTTATTGTATGAAATGCAAACGCCCTGTAATTGCTTTACTTTATCACTAAGTGGTAGTGATAGTCGTAGAAGCAATAGATGGCGTAAACGACAACGATGCTACGATGGAGATCAAGGTGTCGCGCCGGTGACGATGGTGATCACGACGGTGCTTCGGAGATCGAGATCACAAGCACAAGATGATGATGGCCATATCATATCACTTATATTGATTGCATGTGATGTTTATCCTTTATGCATCTTATCTTGCTTTGATTGACGGTAGCATTTTAAGATGATCTCTCACTAAAAATTATCAAGAAGTGTTCTCCCTGAGTATGCACCGTTCCCAAAGTTCGTCGTGCCCAGACACCACGTGATGATCGGGTGTGATAAGCTCTATGTCCATCTCCAACGGGTGCAAGCCAGTTTTGCACACGCAGAATACTCAGGTTAAACTTGACGAGCCAAGCATATGCAGATATGGACTCGGAACACGGAGACCGAAAGGTCGAGCGTGAATCATATAGTAGATATGATCAACATAGTGATGTTCACCATTGAAAACTACTCCATCTCACGTGATGATCAGTTATGGTTTAGTTGATTTGGATCACGTGATCACTTAGATGACTAGAGAGATGTCTGTCTAAGTGGGAGTTCTTAAGTAATATGATTAATTGAACTTAAATTTATCATGAACTTAGTACCTGATAGTATTTTGCTTATATATGTTTGTTGTAGATAGATGGCTCCTGCTGTTGTTCCGTTGAATTTTAATGCGTTCCTTGAGAAAGCAAAGTTGAAAGATGATGGTAGCAATTACACGGACTGGGTCCGTAACTTGAGGATTATCCTCATTGCTGCACAGAAGAATTACGTTCTGGAAGCACCGCTGGGTGCCAGGCCTGCTGCTGATGCAACTGACGATGTTAAGAACGTCTGGCAGAGCAAAGCTGATGACTACTCGATAGTTCAGTGTGCCATGCTTTACGGCTTAGAACCGGGTCTTCAACGATGTTTTGAACGTCATGGAGCATATGAGATGTTCCAGGAGTTGAAGTTAATATTTCAAGCAAATGCCCAGATTGAGAGATATGAAGTCTCCAATAAGTTCTATAGCTGCAAGATGGAGGAGAATAGTTCTGTCAGTGAACACATACTCAAAATGTCTAGGTATAATAATCACTTGATTCAACTGGGAGTTAATCTTCCTGATGATAGTGTCATTGACAGAATTCTCCAATCACTGCCACCAAGCTACAAGAGCTTCGTGATGAACTATAATATGCAAGGGATGAACAAGACAAAGCTCTTCGCAATGCTAAAAGCTGCGGAAGTAGAAATCAAGAAGGAGCACCAAGTGTTGATGGTTAACAAGACCACTAGTTTCAAGAAAAAGGGCAAAGGGAAGAAGAAGGGGAACTTCAAGAAGAACAGCAAGCAAGTTGCTGCTCAAGAGAAGAAACCCAAGTCTGGACCTAAGCCTGAAACTGAGTGCTTCTACTGCAAGCAGATTGGACACTGGAAGCGGAACTGCCCCAAGTATTTGGCGGATAAGAAGGATGGCAAGGTGAACAAAGGTATAGGTGATATACATGTTATTGATGTGTACCTTACTAGAGCTCGCAGTAGAACCTGGGTATTTGATACTGGTTCTGTTGCTAACATTTGCAACTCGAAACAG